CCATACACAAGTGGGTGTGGCATGGAGGCAGATCTGGGTGACAATGAGGGAGAATGTCTTTTGTCTAATGCTGGGTGATAGCTTGAAGGCATCAACAAGCAGGTGCATGGCCCATTAAAAGTGGTACCTGCAGAAAAGATGAACTGGACCAGTGTGGTGTCCACACCTCTCATCATCTCACTGGCCTTCCCCTATTGCTGACCCTGGTCCCCATTCTCAATGCTGTTGACCTTGGTTCTCCTCGTGGAATCCAGATAGTTGATGCTAGCAGCCTCTGCTCTTTTAAACCTACATGATATTCTGTTTCCACATAGGACCCCAGCCAGAGTTTTATGATAACCAGACCAATATTAGGTAGAGAGTAATAGTAACCACCCAGGATCCCCAGCAGTTAGAAGGTCTGCTATGGGAGCGCATGATCTTCCCATCAGAGATAGCATTCAAGGTGAGGCTGGGTGGGCACCAGACAAGCTCCTAGGACCCAACTAGTATCCATAGATGTCTGCTGTTGGGGATGTGCCAGAGAAAACCACCCACTATTCTAGATAAGAAAACGTCTGCGAGTCTAGATTATGATCATCGTGTTCTGAAATAGGATTTCCTGTGAGATGATGAACAACAAAAGAAAATGGTACACCCATTCACATGCTAGTCAGTCCAGAGAAACGGACATGTCAGATTTCCTGCTTTAACAATTCATAACCACAAGAGCAACAAGTAATAATTCATTTTATTACAGGCATCTAAAGAGTATTTGGAGCTTTTCAAAGAACTCTGATGTAAATTATCACATATGCACCCCACGCCTGTATCTCAGGAAGGATGGCAGATGATTAAAGAGAGCAAAAGAACAAAACGATGAATAAAAAAATAAATGAATGGGGCATCTCAAGGGAATAGTATGAAGAAAGAAAATTAGACTGCTTTCATTGGTACTAAGGAGACCCTTTGATTCTAAAATGCAGATGCAATCAGGTAGTTCTCAGGGAAGATGAAGGGATACCCTGCTGGTCCCTCCTGGGCTCCAGGCTTCCATATGCCATCACCTGCTATGCATCTTTATCTCAAACACAACATATGCAAACCTCAACTCATTCTCTCGTCCCTAACCCATCTATTGTGTCTTACATCTCGCCCAACAGTTCCACCACTCACCTCCCAGCCATCCAAACCAGAAGCCATGGAGTATCATCTTTGGCCCTCTTCTCTCACCCCTACATTCCCTGTGTGATAGTCTGTCCAGGTTCTGGCATCACTGGCTAACAGTCTTGCTCTGAACTCGAGACTATTGAGCTAGGATGGTGCTTTGCAGCCAAACTCTTGAAAATGTCCACCTGTAAAGGTGTTACCCCGTTCCTGATGCACCAAGGATATACCCGGCAAGTGGCCTGTCAGACCTAGCAGACCTGGAATACATCCACACCTGCTGTTGCTGAATTGTCCCCCAGGTATCTTCCTGAGCTACACCCATGCTTTAGCCTGAGCGCCTGCTTTAAGCCTTTGCCACCAATGCCTAGAACAGAGCTTGGCCCGGGGAAGGAGCTCAGTAGATGTTTGCAGAAAAGGCCTACAGCCTCCGTGGACTGACTAGACCATGCAGCTGGTCTCCATAGTTGCCAGTCTCCCTACCACGCAAACCCACCCTTAAGAGGACATGTAGAGAGGAAACCCCATCAAAGCATGTGATGGGGAATTCCTTGAGCCAAGAGACTTAGCTCTAAGCACTGAATTGATTTGCAATCTTGGGCTGATGATGCTGTGCCTTAGCTTTCCTCCCATTTACCTCTCAGAGCAGCCTCAAGGATCAAGCAACATAGTGGGCACACCACCAAAGTGGCACGTAGGTGTGGCACAGCGTATCAGTGATTCCTCAATGTGGGTATGCGTCAGCATCACTCAGAGGGCTCCTTAAAGCATAGATTTCTGGGCTCCACTCCCAGAATTTCTGCATCATTAGGTCAGGGCTGAGGCCTGAGAATTTGCATTTCTAACAAGTTCCCAGGTGATGCTGATGGTCCAGAGACTAAACTCTGTGAACCAGTGTGCCAGACCATTTTAAGAGCACTGCCTTTCCCCACCGACCTGGTTTTTCTCCCTGAAGTATGCTATTTCAATATTCGACTTTATGTTTATGTTTTACCCTTTTTGCTGTTTTGCTGGAATCTTAACATAGTCTGTAAATTCCTCTGGGCAGAAATTATACCTTCCACACTCCACATTCTCTCATTTTCTGTTTTGCAAAATAATGAGTACATTTCCAGTGCGATTAATAATAGAAAAAGGAAAGGGGGGGGGACCCACACTACCAACCCCAATAAACAGCTTCCACAAATGGATACCAGCCCTGGAATCCTCTTAAAAATTAATTATGAGGCAAAGAATATTCTACCATCAGTGGCAACGTGGGAAAGAAGATTATGTTCTTGATGACACATTTTGTAAAATGTGGGTTATTCAAGATTTTAGCTGTAACTTACTTAAACACCAACATTTTTTGAAATATAAAACCACAAACAGCATTTCAACTCATAATTTTTATAGTGATAGACAATTGTGTTTTCAACATGTAAAATCCATTACACAGTCGTGGCAACAGTTTGCAATAGATTGTAAATTTTTATTGAGATGATCATCTTCCGATTGAATTTCAAAATGTATTATATGATCATCAGCAAATACGTCCAGAGGGGCTGCTAAAGGACTTTCAGTATCATTTATAAAGATCAAAAACCCTGGAAACTCTTAGATTTACCCTGTGGAAAAAGAAAAGTCTCATTGGTAGGATCAAATCAATTACTTTTATGGATGAATATTGAATTGCAAAGCTGAGATAAGGTATTACCTGGTTTAATAACATAATCTTATGTCCTTTTAAAGTAGTAGGTTTTATAATCAGGTTTCAATAAGGAAGTTTGCAAAGGCCTGCTTTTGAAAACAATCAAGAAAATGGCATTTCTATTTATTATAATGGTCTGACAACATCCAAAGGAATACTCGCAAGCAACGGGCATCCTCACTAACCTTGGGTTATAGACCACCCAGACGGACTACTGAGGTACGTAAGAGTGATTACAGTCAGTTCTGCTATAGCTCTTGTTCTGACAACTCACATGTGTTCCAACATGATTGACCTATTAGGGGACAATCTGAGCATAGCACGAATGTCACCTTTGCTATGTGTGAGTCTGCACATAGAAACACTATGGAAGCAGAAAACTGCACTCGGCTCCACTGAGCCACGCACGAGTACAGAGAACGTACCCCCCTCAAACATCGACCTGCTGCCTCTGTTCACAGCACGTGCTGTGAGCCCCAGGCACCCACAGCTGGTGTCATGACTTTCCATCACGTTCAGAAAGCCCTCTTCATCACCACCCCAGCTCGCAGGCTGCAACCTGCTTCAAAAGCAAACCCGGGGTCTCTCTGCAAGGAAACACACTCTATGTACTGCAGTATTTATGCATATCCTAAGCCACTGACAGGTGTGAACTGTGAGACCAGTTTTACTATTTTCCTCTTTTTTTTTTTAACGTGTCATTGATGAAGAATGAGAGAAGTACCCTAATCCCATTTTCCCCCATAACCCTGATAGTCTTTATCGCATAACTTTCCATACTACAGTGATTTTTCAGGGACGCGTATGTCGCATTATAGAACTAATTGTATTTTGTTTTTTTCTTCCATGGGGGTCGCTGTGCCGATGGGTCCTTCTCTCCCCACCCGGAACCCATCAGTGATTCTTCCTCCCTTGGAATCCAATGGCTCATGCTGCTGCTTCCCTGGTCCCCCCCCTGGGAGAACCCCAGCACTGTATTCCATGCCAGTGGCACAGACTTCTCTATCTTTTCACCGTGGGGTGACCAATGATCAGTGGCATTAGAGTCAGAAGAACCTAAGTGCAAATCCTGACGGTGCCACTGGTTAATTCTATGACTTTGGACAAAAGGTTTTAAAATATGGAGTCTCTATTCCTTCATATATATGTGAGATAAAAGTACTTACATCAAATGGTTAAAGGGGGAAAAAACCACACTGAGTTCTTTTAACTTCTTGAGTTACATTCAGAGCTGTAACATCTCAGGAATACAGTCAGGGATAAAATCCTAGCCAATATCCCTTATTAGAATCACCATAGAAGCCTGGAGTTCCTGGGGATAGGATATAGTTGGTTCAAAAGAACCTTCTCAGACACAGTCCCAGCCACCAAATTCTTAAGCAACAACCAAAAACCTCAGAGAAACTGGGGGAGGAACAAGTCCCCTGGGGTATACTGAGCCAGGAGCTTGGAGGGATATAGAATCCAGAGGACCCATGAAGGAACAGTCCCAACCCAGACTGTTCGGTTGGAACCAGGAGGGCCTGAGGGATACAGAGCCAGAAAGCTCTCAAGGACTAAAGCAGTTCCAGAATCCACTGAGAGGCACTTTCAGAGCCAGGAAGTACTCAAGACAAAGTTGGCATCAGGAACCTTTCAGAGATGTAAATAGAACCAGGAACCCTCAGGCAAAGTGTCAAAACCAAGAGCTCATTAGGGTCACAGGCCTAGGCAAGGAATGCTCAGGGACAAAGTTAACATCACAAGCACCTGAGGTAGCTAACAAGAATCAGAAGCACACAGAGGTGTAGTCCAAACGAGGCCGTGACAAGGCACACTTTCAGAGCCAGGAGCCCTGAGAGACACTTCGAGCTCTAGGAAGCCTCAGACTTACAGTGGCACCAGGAATCCCTGGAGGCACACAACCAGTGTCCCATCGGAAACACTGTCAGAACCAGGAACTCTCCAGGACACGGCTGGAGTCAGGTGGCTCTATGGGTCCCAGTCATCACCAGAGCCAGGAGGGCCTCGAAGGCAAGACCAAAGCCCTGACTGTTGCCTTCCACAACAGGAAGCACAGTCGCATCAAAGAAGTCTAGAAATGACTGTCGCAGAATGCCAATAGAAGGATCACTCAGGGCAACTGCCCGACCTCTCGAAGCAGAGTCAAGAAGGAAGCTCTTACCTGCACACTTGGTTCTGGTGGTGAGCGGAGGCCCTGGTGGTCCCGTGCCTCCCTCCCCCGGTCGTGTGAGCAGCACCCGGATCTCATACTCCACATCAGGGTCCAGATGCCATAGCTTATAGTTGGGAGAGTCAACTATGTGGGTCTCGGCCCAGGTGCCCGTGGTGGTGCGGTACTCCACCTCCTTCAGGATGATGGGGCCATCCCCAATGATAGAGTTGGCATTTGGTTTGATCCACAGGTATGTGGCCCCTACGGCCAGCAGCTCTGGGGGGGCGATGGGTGTGGGAGGCTCTGGAAGACAAGCAATCAGCAAAGGATGTCAGACCCAAATGGTTTACAGAGAAGAATCCAAGCATATAAGGACAAGAACAGAATTCCAGAGTGAGCCACTTACAGGAGCCCAAATCCCTTTCATGACTCCATTCACATCCTACCTTAATTTCTATGATTTTTTTTTTGTTTCAATACTGTGGTGAGAGATTTTTTTAATGTAAATACCTGAATTGGTATTTCTTCTACCACACGACCATATCTCCATTTAAATAAAGTAAAGAAAGAAGGTAATTGTGAATAAATGGTTTTTCTGGAACACAGCAAAGCTGCCTGGGTTAATATTCTGTTTTCCGTCCTCAAATGAGAACATGCCCTTACTGAAGTGGAATTTGGTTCAAAACCCAGCAGAGTCTGAGGTTTGTAACCATTTCTTTCATAGCAACACATGGATTCCTAGTGGAAGTTCTCCCCCAAATAGTCCTATGAGCCAAAGTAGCAAAAAGATGATGGCAAAGGAAAAATTCAGCTTCTTTTCAACTCTAGCAGGTTTCCTCCAGTAAGGAGGATGTCACAGGCACAGTGTCCTCTGTAGGAATCAAGGGTCAAGGGAAAAGTCAATGCAGAGTTATCTTGCATCCTGTATGGGTTGTTCCTCTTCCACTAAGTTCTATTTCTTCGGTTAAATAAACTAGAATTTCAACAAGCACTTATGGTAGGTCTTTCTGGCAATTTTTAGCTCATTAGCGTAGCTGCTGAAATTAACATTAACTTTGTATTTCTTATTTACCAAGAAATCTCACATATACTACTTTGTGCAAATCTTGGGACACAATCACCTCCATTTTGATGGATTAAAAACAAACAAACAAAGAATCCAAGTGATTGGGTCACCTAACCAAGATCATGAAGCAGGTAAGGTAGGATGGAACCCACATCTCTATGCCTTCCCAGACCAGCTATTCCTTTGGAAAGCTGTTTGGTTATAGACACCCATTTTCTAGAACTCAAACTGGTTATGTTTGTTATTTTTATTTGTAGCAAAAAATAGCAGTGGCAAAGCAATAAAGAAAATAACAATAGGGGCGCCTGGGTGGCTCAGTCGGTTAAGCGTCCGACCTCAGCTCAGGTCGTATCTCACGGTTCGTGGGTTCGGGCTCTGTGTCGACAGCTCAGAGCCTGGAGCCTGTTTCGGATTCTCTCTCTCTCTCTCTCTCTCTCTCTCTGCCCCTGCCCCACTCATGCTCTGTCTCTGTCTCTCAAAAACAAACACACACTGAAAAAAAATTTAAAAAAAAAGAAAGTAACAATAAAGAGAAAATAAGTCCCCTTATCTACCACTCAATATAACAGCCATTTTTATTTCTCCATGTTCCATTACAATTTCTATTCATATTTTTAATCCTTGTTCATACAGCTACAGTACCATAAAGACCCAATGTATTTCTTCCCTCACTTCTTAGATTCTAAAGACTTTGTTGACAACATGGATCTTGCCATCACAATCTTTAATAGCTACAGAACAATCTATCAGGCAATCACACTAACTAATCTCCAATTCTTGGGCACGTGAGTTGTGCCAAGTTTTGCTACAGTAAATAATGCTGCAATGAACATCTTTGTGCAAATGACTCCAATTTTTCTGGTCTCATATTTTCTTGGAACCAATTGCCAGAAATGGGATCTGTCAATGGATATGAAAAAATTAATGATTCTTGGAGTAGAATTAGGAAGTGAAGAGTCAGTGGGTGGGGGAGCGTCTGGGAGTGGAGTATAATGCAGATGTGATCAAAACTTTTGGAGGGCCTCTGGGCTATTCAGGTGGGTAATGCAGGTACAGGTTTCCATCTGGAACTCAGGTGAGAGCTTCGGGATAGATCAGACTCATTCAGTGTTTGTTTTCTAATTAATCACCTACCCACAAAGATTCTCCAGAGACAGAATAATTGCTATGAAACAGAGGTGGACAATATTTTCTCAGTGTGATTTGAAGCAAATCTTAAGGGACAACTTCAGATTGCCTCTATTATAGCCTGCCATTTGGTCAGAGAAGGAAATTAAGCAGATTAGTCAAGCTAGATGCTTTTCTTTACAAAGCCATGAAGGTTATTACTCAAGGCCTTGTTATCTCAAAGGTGTTTGCAAATTGATTTTTTGATAATTTGTTCCAGGTAGAGAAGTTAAGTTGGCAGGCAGATAATTTCTGAGCTCATCCTTTGTGCATTTTAAATATATAGACCTTTTGATCATCATTGTCAAGTCTCCAGAGTCCCCATCAGTCTACAGTGGGGCCCCAAGGGTGCTATTTTGTAGCTCTGTGATAACTCTGCTCAACTCCTTAATATAATTATTCACAGACTGGCCCTGGACAGAATTAAGAGCAGCAGACTTCAATACTTTGGGGCTTGGGCCAATCGACTTTCCTCCATGGTCTTTGCTCTGTTTCAGGCATTAGCAGTAAATTGCTGACCACCTGAAAGAAAATAAAGTATCAATCTTTCCAAATGTTTAGTCTCTTTTCACTTATTTCTGGTGGTAGGTACAATATAGTAACAAACTTTCCCTCGAGTAAATAGATGTCTCCATCTCAAATGACTTACTAGTACACATGTCCCTCTGCAGACTAGCCAATACAATTATCTCTCCCTCTGTCCCCTTGACAAAATATCATGAAGTACATCACAGTGCTTCCTGTACCTGGTTCTAAAACAGCCATCAGATTATTATTTTATTTCCTCTTTTGTTAGTATAACTGGGGTCCTTTTTTAAAATTTAAATGCAAGTTAGTTAACATATAGTGTAGTAATGGTTTCAGGTGTAGAATTTAGTGATTCATCACTTACATATAAAACCCAGTGCTCATCCCAACAAGTGCCCTCCTTAACGCCCATCACCCATTTAGCCCATCCCCCACCCACCTCCCCTCCAGCAATCCTCAGTTTGTTCTCTGTATTTAAGAGTCTCTTATGGTTTGCCTCCATCTCTGTTTTTATCTTATTTTTCCTTCCATTACCCTTATATTCATGTTTTGCTTCTTAAATTCCACATATCAGTGAAGTCCTATGTTATCTTTCTCTGACTTATCTCACTTAGCGTAATACACTCCAGTTCCATCCATATTGTTGCAAATGGCAAGATTTCATTCTTTTGACCACTGAGTAATATTCCACTGTGTGTGTGTGTGTGTGTGTGTGTGTGTTTGTACACCACATCTTCTCTATCCATTCATCAGTCAGTAGACATTTGGGCTCTTTCCACACTTTGGCTATTGTCGATGGTGTGCTATAAACATTGGGGTGCATGTGCCCCTTTGAATCAGCATTTTTGTATTCTTTGGATAAATAACTAGTAGTACGATTGCAGGGTCATAGGGTAGTTCTACTTTTAATTTTTTGAGGAACCTCCATACTGTTTTCCAGAGTGGCTGCACCAGTTTGCATTCCCACCAACAGTACAAAAATGTTCCCCTTTCTCTGCATCCTCGCCAACATCTGTTGTTGCCTGTGTTGTTAATTTTAGTCATTCTGACAGGTGTGAGGTGGTATCTCATTGTGGTTGTGATTTGTATTTCCCTGATGATGAGTGATGGTGAGTAATCTTTTTGTGTCTGTTGGCCATCTGGATATCTTCTTTGGAAAAGTGTCTGTTCGTGTCTTCTGCCCATTTCTTCACTGGATTATTTGTTTTTTGGGTGTTGAGTTTGATTAGTTCTTTATAGACTTTGGATTCTTTATAAGTCACATGTATGAGTGGTTCAAAGAGAAGTAGGCATATGAGACACACTATTTTTTTTGTAAGCACCTCTGTTTTTTAAAATGAACAGAAATATCAGGTTTGTCAGTTCTCTCTGAGACGAACTGCTCAAGCACACAATGCAAGAAATATGAGGCCATCTAATCCAACAACTGGAGTCATCAGAAAGGGAACCAAGGCCAGGGAGGGTCTGTTTACTAGAAGGTGGGGGCGGAACATTAGAACTTTGGGCCCTAGCAGAATTCCCGCTCCTCCCTTTTTCTTCTCGTACTTCAGATGTTAAAGCAATTAACCAGAAGGATCTTTCAAGGGAGTCTATGCAAGTAGTTTTTAACTTTTGAGGATACATAGGCCCTTGCAAAGATCTGGTGAGAAATTTCAGACTCTTTTCCCAGGAAAATGCACATATGCTCACCATTTCAGGAATTCATGAACACTTCTGAAGCCTATACATGAACCCCTGAAGAGGCTATGCTGAGAATAAAGGCAAAGCACAGAGATCCTGCTTATGCACCACATGCCCATAATACTTTACAATTCTTTGAGACCCTGAAGCCACCATTTGTTGCAGGGGCTAAAGCCAGGAGTACAATCAGTAAGGAAATGGAACTTGGTGTAAACTTCACAAATCTAGTGCTTCTAGGCTCCCAGGGTCCCAAACATCTGGGTGAAAATAAACATTCTAAGATTTCCATGGGATAATGTGAAGTAAATGTCTAAGTCCCTCATGGCCATGACCCACCTAACACATTAATAGATTCAACATTTGGGCTAAAATATTTTATGGATGAAGACATGACCCTACCCATGAGATGCTATATCCTAACTAGAAATCTTCTACGAAGGCTGCCTTAGTAGTTTGTGTTGCTATAACAAAATACCAAAGGCTGGGTGGCTTAAACAATAGGCCTTTATTTCTTAGAGCTCTGGAGGCTACGAAGACCAAGGTCAAGGTGCCAGATAACTCAGTTCCTGGTGAGAACCCCTCTTCTTGGTTTGCAGATTATCTCCTTGTTATGCCCTCCCATTGTGGAGTGAGAGGGACAGGGAGAGGGAGAGGGAGAGGAGCTGGTCTCTTCCTCCTCTTATAAGGGCACAAATCCCATAATGAGAGCTCTACCTACATGACTTCATCTAAACCTAATCACCTCCCAAAGGCTTCCACCTTCCTAATACCATCACATCAGGGGTTAGGGCTTCAACATGTGAATTTGGAAAGGGCAGGGGGCACACAATCATGCATTATATAACAGAGGCTTTGTTTTCAA